GCGACGTTGTACCCCATATATGTCACCGTGAGAAGATTGGTTTATTACACACGTGATTCTTTATGATGAAACAATAAAATAAAATAAAATAAATAAATAAATAAATGAAAAAAAAAGTAATAAAAAAATGTATAAACCTGAAAAACGACGACAGTTTCTGCTTCATTTTCCCTTCTTTTTTTTTTTTTTTTTTTTCTAGTCCTCTCAATCCTCTTTCCGCAATCTCTGCTTCTTCAAAGCACGTCTCTCTTGCAACTCTCACAAAAGTTCAAAAGTCCTTGAGTCAATGCCGACCGCTAAACGTACGAAACGATCGTCTGCCTCCTTACTACCCAAGCTCCATTGTACACACGGAATCAAGACGGCTTATGCCTCGTTTACTTTTTTTAGCGCACACCTTTTTTTTTTTTTTTTTTTTTCTTTTCCTAACAGAAATTTATCTCGGCCGCAACGTGACCCAAATACGCGATTTGACGCGGCGATACGGCTATTGTTTCCCCGGATGGTCTTCTAATCTTCCTTATCGATGTACCCGCGTGGAATACACCACTCGTTGGGAAGGATGAAAAAAATAAATTTTCAGTCTTTTACACCATCACTGTGCCTATTACAAAGAGCCTCAAAGTACACACTAGGAAAAACTAGAAATTCACCAAAGTTATCATCGAGCACCGTCGGCTTGCACCTGCAACTAAGTATACGAACTCGTGCGCGGAGGTACAGACAGAGATAAGCGAGCGGTAAAGTTAAGCGCTGCCAAAGAGCGACTATCACCTTTCCCGGCAAGCCGAGCCGATTTATACACCTGTGCCGACCGGCAGCGCTAAGTAGCGAATGCTCGCACCGTGGATGGGATATCATCGCGGCGAAGGTAAGGAGCTGCGGCACTGCGTGGGTGTATCATTTTAATTTAGTTGATCCTTTTTTTTTTTTTTTTTTTTTTTTTTTTTTCTTACAAAATTTATCCAAGTGTCGGTCGGTGATGGATATTCGTTGTTTTATTCTTGTCGGTGCTGACCCACTCTATTAATAACGTTGTGTGGGTATAGATAAAGTTTAATGATTCAGTAGATATTGTTTTTATATCTTTTTTTTTCAAGTTCATACGTCAAGATAATCACCAAGCTATTCTCTAGTGAGTATGAAAAGTATCAGTTTGCTGAAGAGGGTTTCCCGCAATAACATGATTCAAAACGCCAATAAAACCGTAATACCAAACTCTTTAAAGGTAACGAAAAGTTTTGGTTTTCCTTTCTAGTTGTACGTAACTGAGCAAAATTAAAAATACACATGCCGTTCAAAATTTTTTTTTTTGACCTGCAAGCTTATATGAAGATTTACAGGAAGAGTTTGAATTAGTCAATGTTAAATACGTAGATTTACAAATATATAAAAAGTCATGAAAATAATACACTCGTCACCTACACCCGTCCAAACGTTAATACTGCTTGCAAAGGAGGAAAAAAAAAAAAAAAAAAAAAAAAAAAAAAAAAATTCTCACATGCGCCTCCTTGTCCTTCTCCCCTAAATAATCGAGTGGATATTCGCGGAAAAGTCGTACGCAAATACGATCGTGATATTCCGGCTCGATAATCTCGTTAGGTAAACACGGTATACACACGTGTAGGCGCAATATGTACCGCAAAGACCAAAAATAAAAGAGAGATTTCTCTCCTCGACGCCGCGGGAGGAACAGGGACCAGCTACATGTATACGCTATACACATGTACATATACATATACATATACACATTTTCACCAATCGAGATTCTAAAGGCGAGGGTGAGAAAGAGGAGAAAAAAAAAAATGAGGGAGGTACAGAAAGTACATGGGCGTGCGAGATTAGTCGGAAATGGGATTTTCGTATATCAGGAGGGGGAGGGAGGAGGAGGTGGGCGACTATGCCGGGGGGGTGTAGGTGGGGGGAAAAAGAGAACGGCCTTGGAAGCTAGGAGGCCTTTTTCTTTTCTCCTCAGTGTGTAGTACTTGTGAGTACCACGCACATCCCCCCCCCCCCCCGTCTTCTCTTCGACCCTGCAGACTTTCGGTCCCGGGGATTATCATCTACGCGATTCCGATCAAGCCGTACATGCCGAAGATGTGCCACTGCTGCTGGCATATATATATATATATATAGTATACAGTGTACACACGAGGATTATGTCTGTGGGCGTGGTGGGCTGAAAAGCCAGGAATCAGAGTGAGCCATACGCGTATGTTATTATATCTCTTTCTTTGTGGTTTTTTTTTTTTTTCTCTTTCTTCGACTGGACGCCTGTGATCTGTTTTCTTTCGCCATTCGTATAAATAAGGGTTGGGCGAAAACGAATGGGGGAACCCGTTATGTGCTACGAGGATTAAAAAATTTGTCGGTTAAACGTAGATGCTCTGAGTATTGAAAAAAAAAAAAAAAAAAAAAAAGGTATTTTTTCCATGCAACAAAATACCATGTGAGGTACGAGCAATTTACAAATTGCCATAACAAAATGTGCAATTTAAATTAAAGGATTTTGTTTTGGCGCCATTTTTTTAGTTTAATATCGTATCCAAACAAGTTCAATAACAATATTTTCTCAGTGAATGTAAAAAAAAAAAAAATCACACAATTCATAACTATATTTTTCGGCCATTTTTAAACGATTTTCGTTATTTTTTAAGGTAAGACGACACTACAGACGAAAATGACAAACACCCATAGCTTATACCTAAGAAATTCGAGCCCATTTTGATGATTTTATTACTTCAATTTTACGAAATACTTAATTACATGCACATATACACACACATCATGTGACCGACTCGTCACTTCATGATGAAAACCTGTAATTAAGTTGTTCATCTTGTTTTTACCTTCATTAGGCTAAGTTTTATCGGTCACCGTGAGAAGATTGGTTTATTACACACGTGATTCTTTATGATGAAACAATAAAATAAAATAAAATAAATAAATAAANAAAAAAAAAAAACACCCCATGTTCACAAGAGCCGAAAAGACGCGTCGACCGCTCGGCAACAACGGGGGATATCGTATAAATCAGCGCGCCACGCGTACCCAAGGACAATAGCCATATCCCTTACCGCAGCTTCGAGGCAAAATCGGGACGACGGCGAGTCTACAGCGGCTCGGTCACATGGCCAGTGGTCGGTCAATCGGCATCGGTGGACACTAATAACATGCACATCGGCACCAGCAGGGCAACTTTCATCAACTGCTCGAGTCAAAGTGACGTTTTTGTTTTTAAGCCCACTGGCACCATGGAAATTTCAAAAGAATGAGAACAAATGAAGAATAAAAAAAAAAAAGACAAAGAAAAGATCACTTGGTGTTAATAATCGTCACGGAAATGGTCCAAACTCGGGACACTGCGAAATTGGTATCTCGCGCCGTGTAGGGTAAATAAGTAGGTACTGGTCTACATTAAGGGTTGGGAGCAAAAAGGGCACTATACACGCACCAAAACCCGATCTGTGCGTCGAGGCGACTCGAAAGGACACTAAAGCGCGGGGTAAAAACGGCACAGCGGCGAGTATACGCGTCCGATCTCTACGTCTTCGGCGCTGCTCCTCGGCGTAGATGTTGCCTATATATAGTAGGTATGGGTGCTTGGTAGTACTAGTACACGGTGTAGCGCAAGCGCGGGCAACTTAATCACGGGAAGGCATGCGCGGCTTTTTTTTTCCCTTCTTTCCTTTCTCTCCCCCTTTTGTCTGTACTTAAACTTGGCGCCGTTGTGACGAGGGATCGACATGTAGGATTTTCGGGCGAGAGGCTGTCTTGGTATTTAGATCTTTTTTCTTTTTTCTCATTGACTGAAAAATCATGCTTTGCCACAAAAATTTGGGGTTGACATGATTTTACGGGAGGAGCAAGTGTAATTGGTTTTGCTTTCGTTTTACTCTTCCGGGTGTACTTCAAACTCTTTGATCCGAATCATCAGAGTAGATTAGTTAGGGACAGCCTTATGAAGAAGGGATTTTTTTTTTTTTTTTACCTAATATAAAACTTTTTTGTGCCCTCTACGCGGAACAATCTGATGAATATTTTTTTTTCTTTTACTTCGATTGCAGCCAGAGTGGTGTCGCGAACAACTTTTAACATCAACAAGTAAATGTCGGTGTGGCTGAGCTACTATTTTTTCAGCAATCATACATTTTATTCAATATAGCACAACATTTGTTAAAAACATTAAAAAATTCCCAACACCTTGCACAAGAGTTTTTTTTTTTTTTTGAACGAAAAAATTTTATTCTTTTTTATCACTTTTTTTTAGCCATGTGAATAAATACGCAATTTCCGTGATCCACAAAATGACAGGAATGACGTGGATACCTATTTTCAGGTGCCTCTTTATAAAAAAAAAAAGTTTTTATTTATTTATTTATTTATTGTATTGCTCAAGTATTTACTAACTTCAGGACACAGTCATGAAAATAATACA